CATATAATTTATATTTATTTGTTATTATACAAATTAAGTCTTTATATAGTTGATATATAATTACTTATATAAATTAAACAATAAAGATATGAGCAAAGCCTCACCTTAATACCAAAAAAATAAATAAATAAATAACTATATATCAAATACTTTTGTTATAGCAAGTATGTATAAACCTTATTTTAATTATCTCAATTATTGTTTTAAATCTAATGATACATATTTTAACAAATACTTTTGTTAAACTATCAATGTATGTATAAGCTTTATTTTATTTATTTCTAAAACTATGATCAAATGAATTTTAAATTATGCACATTTGTAATCTTATAATGTATAATTTTCTTTATCGAACTATTAAAGAGTAAGTACAGCTTTATAATTTTTTTCAAAAATTATTACAGATAAATCTCTCCAAATGCACCCTCTATAAGTGCACTCTCTTCTTATATGCACACCAAGGTCTGGTCCCATGCTTGGAACTTAATATTAAGTGCACCCTCTATATTCTGCACGTGCATAAAAATATTTTGCCCTGCTATATAAATAAATACCCATAAATGCGCTTCTATGTGATTTAATATTTTTGCATACATGATCATATGATTATTATTAATTAGAACTAAAGCCTTTTTAGTTAGTACATATATGTATAAACTTTAATGCTAATACTTTTAATAAAAGTAAGCTAAGCCTGCAAAGCCACACCAAATAAAAAAATCTAATGCTACATTTTAATTTAATAAAATTTATTTATTTATTATATATTATTGAATAGTATAGAAATAATACATTTTACTATATTTGCTCATAGATTAGTTTAGACTAGAAATAATATAATATTAATATATAATCACTTAGTAAATTCTACATGTAGTCTCTTTAACATGAATTTATTATAAAGTTTTTTTGAATTGGGTCTTGTCAGTTCAATCACGAGTAATTGTAAATATCAAAGTTCAAAAAAAAAATTTGAATTGAATAAAATTACAGAGTCGGAAAATTTTAATTAGATTGATTAATAAAATACATATCTACTAGTGATTTTAATACTATTCTTAATTTCATATTCGATCTGAAGTCGCTAACCCTAAAAGTAAAGTAATAGAGTTCATAGTTGTATACAAATTTTAAGTGCAAAGAAATTAATAATGCCAAAATAGATATGGGGCTATATTCAAGGATGTGTGAAAATCAAAAATAGATCTCAAAAGTCTTCGAATTCACACTGAAAAGAATAGATAAGAACTATTAGTATGAACAAAGTCAAATTGTATAAACAAAAAAATAAAAGATTAATAAGAACTTCCTTTCAAAGCTATCAAGCCCCAATTATTATGAGAATCTAAAATTCTTTGTTAAATTCATAGATAAGATAGAATGCAATAGAATGTTTATAAAAATTATATATCTTGAACGTTAATAGTTAAAAATTCTTTTTTGCTTATCTTTAAAGCTTTAAAGTTTAGTGAATAAACTTCATACTGCATCTTTTTGTAATTTTTCATACTATTTTATTTTAAAATGTCTTCAAAATTAAAAACTACTCTAAGTGATGCTTAAAAATGTAAATTTTGCTTTTGTTCTCATGAAAATAAGATGACTCATACAAAGTACATAGATTGGATTGAACAAAAGTAGGGTGTTAGAGTTTATGAATCTACTATAACACGAATCTTGCAGACAAAAGATCAAAGACTTACTAGTGAAATTATTAATCCAGACAAAAAAAGAAATAGATCGATTACTGTTCCAGAACTCAAATTGGCTCTTAAAGAATTTGTGTTAACCTATCAACACAAAACAGTTTTAAGTGATTTAATATTAATTGAAAAAGCAAAGCTACTTGCTAGTAAATTAGAAGTCCTAATAGTATATTAAATTTTTTTTCAGGTTGGCTTCATAAGTTCAAAGAACATAATGAAATTGGCCGTGAAAAATTGCATGGTGAGGTTGAATCAGTTGATAATGATGCAATTATTAGAGAACTTCTATTATTACAAAATAAGTGTGCTAATTATTCTCTTGAACGAATATACAATATGGATAAAACCAATCTTTTTTATTGATTAAAACTTGACTATTCATTAGCTACTCAACATCTTTCTGGATGTAAAAAAGATAAAGAACGTATTACTATTGCTCTATGTGCAAATGCTAATGGATTACATAAGTTAAAGCCTTTGATTATTGGAAAGTATGCCAAACTACAGTGTTTTAAAAATATTAGAATTTCAAACCTAAAAATAACATATCATAACAGTGCTAAAGCATGGATGTTATTGATGCTTTTTCATGAATAGTTATATGATTTTGATTCACAGATATCAAAAAAATACGGAAACCAATGTGTATTATTAATTCTTGATTAGTGTTCAAGCTACAAGATAGGTAGTATATTTCTTAAAAATATTGATGTTTGTTTTTTACTTGCATATACTACCTCAAAATTCTAACCTATAGATGCTAGGATTATAATGTCATTTAAAAGAAATTATCATCGCCATTATATCAGATGGATGTTAGAACAAGTTGAAAATGATAAACATGCTCAAGATTTAAAAATGGACATCTTACTGGGATTTTTTTTCTTTTTTTTTTTGGTATTGTAATTATTTGTTTTCTAATCATAGTTAAGCATCTTCTTTATTACATTCTTCTATAAAAAATTAGATATGTTATTCAAGATAAGTTTAAAATTTTACATATGGTATTTTTATTTTATTGAATAAAATTTAAAACTATTCTAGGTTGGGATGAAGTTATGCCCCAAACAATTCAATATTGCTGGCACCATACATGTACTCTTCCAATTGATAAACTTGATGAACTTGATGAACTTGATAAACCATTGCTTGATAAGCTACTAACTGAAACACCATTGCTTGAAGAGCTTTCTAGAAATCTCAGGAATTTTAATTTTTCTGATACAATACATATTGAAGAATATTTAGCTATTCCTGATGAAAATATTGTGTATTAAGTTCCCGTTGAGGATCAAATTATTATAAACCTTGTTGAAACATTTAAAAAAACTGACAATAAGAATGATAAAAATCAAGAAGCAGCAGATGACAGTATTAAAAAAGAAATTATAAGCCCAAATGTTGCCTTAAAAAGCTTGGAGAATATCCATACTTACTTACTTCAACAAGAAGGTGCTAGTGAATATATCAAGTTAGTTGGCACTATTGAAAAGTTTATTAAAATAAAAAAAAAGTCTTAATGAAACAATTAACTATGGATCAATATTTTAATCAAGAAAGGTTATCAATGGATGATAATGAAGACTTTTACTATGATGATGATCTTGATTTTATAAATTTATTATATTATTAATCATAGTCATATATTAAATTATTTAGTGAATTATAAAACTTATTAGTTAGTACTGCTTTATACAATTGAATTAGCTAAATCCCTTCAGTCACACCTTATCAATAATAATTTATTCTGGCTTCATTTGAATTTTTTTCATGTTTATTAAATTAGCTTTATTGGTAAAAATTTTAGTTTTTATATGGGTTTTTGTATGAGTTAAAAGTAGATGCAAAATGTCTCAACTAGCTCGTATATTACAGCCTTGGATATTACCAAATTTGGACAATGCAGATTACACACTTTTTTGTACATTTAGAAAATTCTTGGTACTTCTATTTAAGTTTATAGCTATTCTATACTAGTTTATGGGGCTAAATTTATACCAATCACGGTTGTTTACTGATTTGGTAAACAACCACCTTATAAAGCTCCTGGGATCATGAGAGATTCCTAGACTACATATCTTTAAGACTATTTATATTTGAATTAATTCAAAAGTTTATTATTAACATGCCCATGATCTCACCACTAGTTATTTTATATATAAATTGATTCTAGAGTATTCTTTACTATGTTGTAAATTGATTTACATATTTGGTAATATCTGAAACTGTATTAATTATATTAATTAATAGAGCCAATGAATCAATTTGTATCTTTATATTAAAAAGTAAATCTGTTTATATTAGTATTAGCAATTCATATTATTTAGCAATTCATATTAGTTTTAGCAATTCATATTAGTTTTAGAGATTCGTCTAACAATTAATATATTTATCAATAAGAATAAAAATTAAGTTTTGCTTATCTTATTGTGTATAACAGTACCATAGATACCACAAATGCCAAACTGTCACAAATACCATGTAATTAAAAAGTGTACCGTGTTTATACTACAATAGACTTCAGTTAAGTTCTATGCAAATATATTTCAGTTATACATATATTGGTTTATAAAAGTTGTATTATATATATGTACTATATATAATTTTGAATAAAGTAACGATTACAAACTATGTTATAATAAAAGTTACAATATATATGCATGTTATTGTATATATAATTTAATTTCTATAAGTGCATTATCTGACTTCGATCTTAAGAAAGTGCATTTATAGAAATAAATCTCTAAATGCACACCCTCTATAAATACATCACCTAGTACTAGTCCCAAGGGGGTGCATTTAGAGAGATTTATCTATATTTGATAATTTTAACTAATGCATCCTTATATCTAATAATTACTAAATATTTCTTTAATTATTAGACTGTAAGTACAGCTTTATTATTTTTATTTCCAAAATTATTATCTAATAATATATTTTACCAAATATTTTTATTAAATTATTAGACTGTAAATACAGCTTTATTATTTTAATTTCCAAAACTATTATTTGATAATACATTCTTACATATTTACCTTGAAATATTAGCAGGTAGGTATAGGCTTTATTTTAATTATTTATTTAATGACTTACATTTTTATATGCAATAATAAATATTTAACAACTGCCTTTATTAAATTATTAGATAGTAAACTTTAGTTTGATTAAAAGTTTAAATTACCATCTAACAGTGTATTTTTAAAAATAAAGTTATTAAATTATTAGCTAGTAAGTATTATAACTTTCTTGAATTTTATTTTTTAATTATGCATTTTTATATCTGACATTTATTAAAAATTGCTTGGTTAAATTATAGCCCGTATATATAAGCTTTATTATGCTATATTTGGTTTTAGAATTGTGAATTTGATAATTTTTAAATTATACTTGTAACTAATTATTTTATTTCATTTATAATTTTTATTTAAGCAACTTAATATCTAACGATGTATATTTTAACAAATATTTTTGTTAAAATTGTTAGTAAGTGAGTATAAGCTTTATTTAATTATTTTCAAAATTATCATTTAAAGAGTTTTAAATCGTGAGCTCTTAAATCTAATGATATATATTTAACAAATACTTTTGTTAAAACTATTAGACAGTATGTATAAGCTTTATTTTAATTACTCTCAATTATCATTTGAAAAGGCTTAAATTGTATGCCTTTATATCTAACAATATATATTTTGACAAATACTTTTGTTAAAACCATTAGTTTGTATGTATTAGCTTTATTTTAATTATCTCGATTATCATTTGAAAGCCTTAAATTGTATGTCTTAAATCTAATCATATATATTTAATAAATACTTTTGTTAAACTATTAGGATGTATGTATGAGTTTTATTTTAATTATTCCTAATACTATGATTAAATGAAATTTAAATATGCATCTTATATCTAATGATAAATCTTTTAATGTTGGTTAAATTATTAGTTAGTAAGCAAAAATTATTATATTTTTTTTATAAATTTTTATTTGTTAATGTTTAAGATATGAATCTTTTTATATAATAATAAACATTTTAACAAAATTGGTTTCTGTTAAATTTTAGCTAGTAGTCATGAGCTTTATTATAATTGTTTTTAAAATTAATTTTTAAACCATGTATATTGTGCTCATTATATATATTTTAATAAATATCTTTTAAATTATTAGCAAGTAACTACAAGCTTTATTTTGCTTGTCACTAAAATTATTGTTTAAATTATATGCATTTAAAATCTTATAATATATATTTTTCTTTATTTAATAATTATTAGTGCGTAAATACAGCTTTAATTGTTTTTATTTTTAAAACTATTATTTGATAATACATCTTATTTCTAATCTTCCTAATCAGAAAGCAGCTGGTCCCTCTGAAATCTGCTATGAACACATCAAACATGTTAGCAATTCTTCACAAGATATTTTCAAAGCATTTATTAATAAATGCCTTCAACTTAGGAAAATACTATCAGAATGGAAATCCTCTAATATCTTCCTAATTCCAAAAAAATCTACCTGGGATTTTACACTAAATCA